TGCTCTCTCCCCTTCCCCCGGCTCCGAAGCCTCGCGGCTTTTTCTCCTCCCCCCGGCTCCGAAGCGAGGGCCCCCCTCCCGGCTCGCTGCTCACCTTTCAAGCGGCGGCGGCAGCGGCGGTCACAGAGCGTTCCCTGCGCATGCGCAGGGGACGCTCTGTGAGTTTCGGAGGGATTTAAACATCCCCCCAATGTTTTTCCCCAGATTTAGGATTTTTGTGCACACGTGGGGACCGTCCCACGTGCGCACAAACCTCTCCCTCCCCCCCCAGGTCCCCCCGATGTGCGGATTTAAGTATCCGCACACCAGGGGGCGACTTGAGAATTAGATATATAGATAAATAAATAAAAGGTAGCTCCAAGTCTATGCAACGATTCGGCAACAGAACTGATAGCAGGACAGCCACATGTTTCAACGAACTGGACTGGGATTTGGAAGCAAGAGAGTTACTGCTTACTCCCCTATGAAAAGATGACTGAGGCGAAGGAACTGGGAATCTCCTTGTGGATGTCTTCCCTGGTTTTTTTGGTCTCCCCCTGCTCTGGGTTAACAGGATATTTTGCTGAGGAACCCTGAACCCTGAGGCAACCATGGCATCCAAGATGGGAGACCTTCAGCCAGCACTTCTGTCAGAATTTTTATCTCTGCACAGTTGTGAGTTGTGCTGGCACAACTCTTCAGAATTTGGCACAGCCAAAACTGTACCAACACAACTTCTGGTAACGTCTCCGACTCCCTTGATATTTAGAACATAAAGCCAACAGGGGCAGAACGTCTCTGCCTGGCTTTTGAAGAGAATTTAACAAAAAAAAATTCTGAAGGTACGCTTTCTGACTTGGGTCTTATTGCGGATCCTTTCTGGCTCCCGGTTTAATAGCTGAAGGGTCATTTGAGCACTGCCTGGAGTCCTTGTGGGAGAGCGAGCACCATATGCCATTTTAAACGAAGACATCAAGCTGCACTTTTGCAGCGAATTGGTAAATGAACTCTTAGCTGTAAAGGAGCAGCAAACTCCTCTCAGGCAGCTTCTATTTTAATGTGATCAGGTCCACAAGGTGGGTGGCTGTGGACCGGAATCTGGTGACATCCAACAGAACCACCTGCCACTGGGTACCTTGCACCCAGAAGGACAATAAAGTATGCATTCTGGTATTATTATTATTCGGGTAAATAAGGAAGAAACCCCCCAGCACCGCCCTCACCGTCCCTTCCCCGGCATTTTAGTAATGTCATATACCAATTCTGTACAGAGATAGCTGCTTACATCCTCCACCTCCTCTTTGGGTTCTCGTCGGGCAACAATCACTTCCGATTTCACTCTAGGAAAGAGGGAGAAAAGAGGATGGGAGGTTACAACTCCTGTTCTGAGGGAGACATTCTGGGACAAGAGTGAGGGGTGACCGGTGAGCGCCTCAACGCTCATCCCTCAAAGCAGACCGCCCCGGTTGCTGTTGCCACAGATGCTTCCCCATATCATAACCAGGGTATGGTTGGAGAGCACATCATACAGCAACTTCGATGGCACTTCCGGACCATCCCCGGAAGGAGTCGCTGCGGTCGAAGAAGATCTGCGCCGAGACGTCGTCACCCGGGACGAAGAACTTCCGCAGAAACAACAACCAAGACCCTGCCACGGGTGCCTGTTAGGTAGTCATCTCCCCTCAATGTGTGGCCCTAGTGAGGGAGTGTAATTAAATTGTACGACGTAAACCGCTCAGAGCCCTTCGGGGGTTGAGCGGTCTAGAAATCGAATGTTAAATAAATTAAATAAATAAATAAATAAGGAGATCTGGGTCTGGTTGTTGCCTGGATGGGAGAACTCCTGGGATTCCCCCGAGCTCTAGGATGGAAGAAACAAGGATATACATTAAATAAATACATAAATAAATGAAATGTGAGTGTGGGCAACAGGAGGATGGATTTGGTACATGGGTCTCTAGTCACCAACCCTTAAGTTGTACAGGGGCAGAGGTCAGGGGACTTTTGAGTCTGGTTTGCCAACAGTGGGAAGAAGGAGGAGGAGGAGGAGGAGGAGATTGGATTTATGCCCCGCCCTTCACTTGGAGTCTCAGAGCGGCTTACAAACTCCTTTCCCTTCCCCTCCCCACAACAGTGTCAGCAAGCTGCCAATGTTTTTTTTTCTTCCTTCGTGTATGCGCTTGGTTGCTTTCGCTTTCATATGTAGACCTGTTGATGCGCTTAATTGCTTAGCTGCTGGAACGTCTATATCTCTCAAGGCCACAGGTGGTTGCTGCTGCTGGATAGTTGCTTGGGTGATCTCAGGGAAAACCGTGGGAAGGAGACAGCTTGTGCCGCCTAGAAGCGTTTGCTCCCAGGCCCGATGGCGCGCGCGGGAACTCCCGCAATTGGGCCTCAGTTGTTTGAATGTACTATAACATGCCATGCTCATTGCTCCCCCCCTCATTCCTAACAGTTTTCCTGTCCATGCATCTATAGCTTCGAATAAAGTAAAACCTTCCTGCAAGTGTGTACTTCATTGTTGCTGTGGATCCTGACAAACAGACACCCTGTGAGGTGGGTGGGGCTGAGAGAGCTCTTTCAAGAACTGCCCTTTCAAGGACAGCTCTGACAGAACTATGGCTTGGCCAAGGTCATCCAGCAGCTGCAGTTAAACGTCCTTGAACGTAACCTGGAGTGACATCTGAAATAAGCTTGAGGAGAGAAGGATGAAAGCTCACTGGGACTCTGTGTAGGCCAGGGAACTCTGTCTACGGATGTCCCAATAAAAATAGTTGACTTTGGAGTTGGGGGAGGGGGGGGTCACTCACCTTTTCAGCTCCTCCTCGAGTTCCTTGATCCTGGCTTCCATTTTGGCTTTTGCCTGCTTTGCCGCTTCGAGCTCTCCTTTCAGCACCTCCTGCTCCCCTGTGAGCTGATCAACTTTCGCAATTAAGTCATTCTTCACTATATTCAAAGCATTTCTTTAAGGCAAAGAAAACAAATAGCATTAGAATGAAATGGGTATGCAGGAGCAGTTGAATGGGGAAGAGTGAGGAGTTTGGACATGGATGCGAAGCTTAAGAGATTCAAATCATAAATATCCAAGACAAACCCTTACATTACATTAGAGCATACTCTTCTTATACCAGGTGCCGCCAGGTAGATTATAGGCTAGAGACAGATGACAGTTTTCCCAAGCCAAAGGTAATCTGAAAGAGGGCTGGCTGTGCATGGCGTGTGCACACTCATTGCATTTTCACCTCCGCAAAACAAGCTTTGCAGGTTTCTGTGTGGCTGCAAAAAGCTGAAAAATCTACTTGGCCAGAGGCAACACCGTAACAAGAGATACACAAGCATACTGCACAATGCCTCTCCGAAAGGGTTCTTTCTGAAAACCCAATCATCTGTCTCCATTCTAAGTAGTCCCAGCAGAACTGTAATATTAAAATTTTTCCAAACTACCAACAAAAAAACCCCTTGTTTGGCCAACTGAACATTACTTTATACAGTTTGGGCACACATGGGACTCACCGGTGTCTTTCCTTTCCTGGAAAAATGCCCCCCCCCCCCCCAATAGGAGGCTAGATTCTGGGTTCTCCAAGAGCGCCTTCAGACACGGCACACACCTGAAGTAAACTGACAAATATGCCTCATTTCTTACTTTGTTTCCAGGAGCTGCGTATTCTCCAACAAGAGATTCCCCACTTCTTTGCCCATTCCTGGGGAGGAAACAGACAAATAATAAAAGTGGCCATGGAGATTTCCCTTTGAAAAGGCAGAACTTCGTGATTTTCTGAAGGACAATTCGCCCTTGTGAACAGGCTATACGTTTTTCTGCACAACCCAAACTGTCTCCCAGCATGCTGAGATCCTGGAACAGCGGCAAACATGTCCTGCATTTTACTTCCTAGAACTGTAGGGTTACCCATTCACCCAAGTACAGAGGCTACCCTTCACGGGATGGGCGGAGCACATGGCCGCACTAAAGCAATTGCTGGATCTATCAATGGTAGCCTGGATCCTCTTTTCCACTGTAACTTTTACAGCCACTCTATCTGAGAGAAGAAGCAGGCACCTTGACCAGGGCTCCCTCTAAGCTGAGTTAGTGTGAGCTAGCCCACAGTTTTTTAGCCTCCAGCTCACAGATTTTTGCCTTAGCTCAGGAAGGAGGGCTCCAGAGCAAACTAATTTATGCAGTAGCCAAGCCGCTCGCTCACCACTTTAATGCCACGAGCTCACAAAGTAGAACTTTTGCTCACAAGAACTCCACAGCTTAGAGGGATCATTGACCTTGTCACAGCTACTGGCGGAACGTCAGGTTCTACAGTGCCAAGACCACGGCCACACAGCCCGCAAAATCCACAGCAACTAATCAGGCAACTGATCAGACGTTCATTTAAGATAACCATGAATGTGTAAAGGAGGCCACTTGACATCACACTTGCTGGCCCCAATGCCACATTCAAGCATACCTTTTACACAGAGGCCACAACCAACAGAATGCTCCAGTACTATCCATTTTCCTGGGGCTTGCATGCATTCGAGGGTGCCTCATTAGGTGCCAGGCAAATGCTAAGCTTGGATGCATAGAGGTTGAGGGATGGGGTGAGTGAGACCAACTCCACTCAGTCCCTTCTGCAACGTTCATTTCTATCCAAACAAACCGCCTGAAGAAGACTCTCAGGATTGTGGCTGCCTGTTTTCCATCCTGGCTTATGAGGTCAGCTACAAGAACAGCCCCTTCACAATTTAGCACAACACACCTTCTTAGAATGGAAATGGTTCTGCCGTTCCAGCTACTACAAACCCCATCGAGCCCTCACCACATGGCAATTCTGCAACTGAACATAATGTCTAATGATCACTGATGGACCACCACCACCACAGCATGAGCATACAAAACTCTTTAAAAATGAGACAATCACTGCTAGTGGCATTCACAGATTCACAGAATCAGAGAATCGTGGAGTTGGAAGGGTCATCTAGTCCAACCCCCCTGCACAATGCAGGAAATCCACAAAAGTCTCCTCACCACACCCCCAGTGACCCGTTCCACACCCAGAAGATGACCAAAAAAAGCCTCCAGGATCTCCAGCCAAACTGGCCTGGAGAAAAATTGCTTCCTGACCCCAAAGTGGTGATCCGCCTTTCCCTGGGCATGTATGAAAGGGCCACAAGAACTAAGCACTGATGCAACCTTTCCTGCCCTCCCTCTTATGATCTGCCTAAGTTCACACAATCAGCATTGCTGTCAGATGGCCATCTAGCCTCTGTTTAAAAACCTCCAAAGAAGGAGAGCCCACCACCTCCCGAGGAAGCCTGTTCCACTGAGGAACCACTCTGTCAGGAAGTTCTTTCTGAATGCTTAGCCAAAAACTCTTTTGATTAATTTCAACCCACTGGTTCTGGTCCGACCTTCTGGGGCAACAGAAAACAACTCTGTACCATCTTCTATATGACAGCCCTTCAGGTATTCGAAGATAATTATCGTATCACCTCTCAGTCGTCTCCTCTTCAAGCTAAACATACCCAGCTCCTTCAACCTTTCCTCATAGGACTTGGTCTCCAGACCCCTCACCATCTTTGTCTCTGGACACGTTCCAGCTTGTCTATACCCTTCTTAAATTGTGGTGCCCAAAACTGGACACAATACTCTAGGTGAGGTCTAACCAGAGCAGAGTGCAGCGATACCATCACTTCACGTGATCTGGACACTATACTTCTGTTGATACAGCCCAAAATCGCATTTGCTTTTTTAGCTACCGCATCACACTGCTGACTCATGTTCAGTTTACGGTCTACTAAGACCCCTAGATCCTTTTCACACATACTACTGCCAAGGAAAGTCTCCCCCGTCCTATAATTATGCATTTGATTTGTCCTACCTAAATGCAGTACTTTACATTTATACCCGCTGAAATTCATCTTAGTTGTTTTAGCCCAGTTTTCTAGCCTGTCAAGATCACCCTGTATTCCCATGCCAATATGTCCCACAAGTCAATTATGGACAAGGTCATCCTGTATTCCTGTGCCATATGTCTTGCAAGCCAATTATGGACAAAAACAGATTTTAGGAGGCCACTCAGACAGTTGGCTTAGGTATCTAGTTTGGTGTAGTGGTTAAGTGTGCGGACTCTAATCTGGGAGAACCGGGTTTGATTCCCCACTCCTCCACTTGCACCTGCTGATGTGACCTTGGGTCAGTCACAAGCTCTGGCACAGCTGTCCTTGAGAAAGAGCAGTTTGTGTCAGAGTTCTCTCAGCCCCACCCACCTCACAGGGTGTCCGTTGTGGGGAGGGGAAGGGAAAGGAGTTTGTAAGCCGCTCTGAGACTCCAAGTGAAGGGCGGGGCACAAATCCAATCTCTTCTTCTTCTTCTTCTTCTTCTTCTATCTGGGCTGCTGGGTTTGAACCTGGACCTTCTTGCATGCAAAGCAGATGCTCTAAAAAGGTAAAGGTTCCCTTGCTCGAAAGCCAGTCAAGTCCGACTCTAGGGTTGCGGTGCTCATCTCCGTTTCCAAGCCGAAGAGCCAGCGCTGTCCGAAGACGTTTCCGTGGTCACGTGGCCGGCATGACTAAACACCAAGGCGCACGGAACGCTGTTCCCTTCCCACCGAAGTGGTCCCTATTTATCTACTTGCAGTTTCTTTCTTTCGAACTGCTAGGTTGGCAGGAGCTGGAACTAGAGACGGGAGCTCACTCCGTCATGCGGCACACTCGGGTCTCGAACTGCTGAACTACTGACCTTCCACAGCCTGCAGTTCAGCGTCTTCACCACTTGAGTGCTCTACCACAAAGCTAAACCCATCCACATGATGCATTCTACTGTATCAGACCACTAGTCTATTCCATCCAGTTTTATCTGCTCTAAAGCCAAGGCCATCTCCCTCGCGCATTGAAACTCAGAGGATGGACTCTCGCTACTGTCTTTCCGCCCACAACGAGATGACTTTTTGCAATCAGCCTGTGACTAAATGTGCAAGAACAGCGGCTGAGAATTCACTTGGCACAGCTGGGACTGAGTGAATCAAGGGCGCAATCTTACTTTCCCCCCCCCCTCCTCCATGAATTGCAGCAAAGACCCAGGAAGGCACAAAAGGTTTCCAGAATCTAGGATATTGGATGCACATTTTACCATCTAATTTGTTGTTGTTCAGTCGCACAGTCGAGTCCGACTCTTGGGGGTCATCAAATTCTGGTCAATGATGGGGTAACATTGCTATGCTGTCGCCCATTTAATCGGAAGCAACCAACCCCAAAACAGTTCCGCATCTAAACTGGCCAGCAAGTCTTTCTCTTAAACATGTGAGGCCATCATGTTCACAGGGAAGCATCCAACCCTAGCCAATAGTTGAGGGGGGGGGGAAATGAGTGGAGAGGCCAGCCAGAGAAGCTGATCGTGAAGCAGGATGTTCTGATTATACCTAACTTCCCCATTATGCTGGATCCAGGTACTCATCCGTGCAGTGTTCCCTCTAAAGCTGAGTCAGTGTGAGCTAGCTCACAGTTTTTTTAGCCTCCGGCTCACTCATTTTTGTCTTAGCTCAGGAAGGATGGCTAATTTGTGCACTAGCCAAATCGCTCGCTCACAACTTTAATAACAGTGGCTCATAAAGTAGAATTTTTGCTCACAAGACTCCACAGCTTACAGCAGTGGTGGCGAACCTATGGCACGGGTGCCAGAGGCGGCACTCAGAGCCCTCTCTGTGGGCACGCGTGCCATCGCCCCAGCCAGGCCCAGACCATCATTAAAGTGTCGAATTCTCTGCCAAATAATTTTAAGCAAATGAAAGCATTTGGGATTGCTTTCCTTACTTTGTTTGGATCATCTTAAGTCAATGTAGGAGTTGTTTTTTCTCAAGTAAAGCCTCCGTATTCAGGTTAAATTGCCGTGTTGGCACTTTGCGATAAATGAGTGGGTTTTGGGTCGCAGTTTGGGCACTCGGTCTCTAAAAGGTTTGCCACCACTGGCTTAGAGGGAGCATTGCATCCGTGTTGGTCTGAAGCAGTCTATAAGTTTGAACCTTACATCCCATTCCACTGCATTTGAAAAAGTGTGCTTTGCACATGAAAGCTCCTACCTGGAGCTTTCGTTGGTTGGTCTTAAAGATGCCACTGGACTCTACATTTCTTCCCCATTATGCCTCCATGCAATTCATATCTACACTGCCCATAGCACCCTCTTTGAAGAATGCAGAGAATTGGTCATTTGCTAAGAATGCTAAGAACTCTCTGCAAAAGACCCCCTACCCTACCCTCCTCCTCGTGCTGCTAGGAATGACATGAGAAATGCCCTTGCTCCCCCACAGATCCTGCAGCAAGCCCCCCTCACAGGACCAGACTGCCCCTCTCTTCTAAGAACAAAGATCAGAGAAGGAAACAACAGAACTGATAAGCTACATCTCACGGTGTTCCAAGCTGGGCCCTGCGCACACAAATTGTCCTCAATGATGAAACAAGCAATACTGAGATTGCAACACAGGGAAGTATTTCTTCTCTCTTGCTTGGGTTGTTTCCTCTCGCTTGAGCTAAGGAAAGCCCGCCACCCAAATCAAAGGCAAAACACCTAAGTGCTGCTTTTTCTAGATTCAAAACACTCTTCCCTCTTTACACCGGGAAGAAAAATATTAATTGTTGTTGTTGTTGATTTTGCTTAAGGTAAAGGTAAAGGTTCCTTTGCTCGAAAGCCAGTCGAGTCCGACTCTAGGGTTGCGGTGCTCATCTCTGTTTCAAAGCCGAAGAGCCAGCGCTGTCCGAAGATGTTTCCGTGGTCATGTGGCCGGCATGACTAAACACCAAGGCGCACGGAACACTGTTACCTTCCCAACGAAGTGGTCCCTATTTATCTACTTGCAATTTCTTGCTTTCGAACTGCTAGGTTGGCAGGAGCTGGAACTAAAGACGGGAGCTCACTCCATCATGCGGCACCCGGGTCTCGAACGGCTGAACTACCGACCTTCCACAGCCTGCAGTTCAGCATCTCAACCACTTGAGCCACCGCAGCTCCTTGATTTCGCTTACTTGCACAGTAAAACACCAAACACACATTCAAGACAAATGAAAAGTTCATGAGAGCCACAGTAGCACAAGACGAAGTGTGAAAACAAGTCACGACAAACCCCCGAGGCTGCACGCACACCTTCTTCCCACAATGAGATGGGGTAGACTTACAATGACACAGACAAGCTCCCGACAGGAATGGAAAAGTAGCAGCAGTTGCGTTTTTAAAAGGGGGGGGGGTCACTACAACAACCAGTAAGACAAAAAGAGAAGACTCCCTTCGGATGTTTCAGACAGCATGTGATCTGTATGCCATGTTCTCCATCAGCAAACCAAACCATCAGACATCATTCGGATGGTGGCACGCCTCGGTTTGCAAATAAGTGAAGACTCATTTGACCCAGCATGTTGTTAGGCACCAGCATAAACATTTTAGGTGCCCAGGCAACCAAGCGTCTGGGAATTTTCTGGTCCTGGATACCAGACCCTGTGCTCAAAGACAGAATCAGTGTCTGGACTGAATAGGGCCTTTTTTTTTTTTAAATGCCATTTGGAGCCGGCATATGTAGAAGTTTATTACTCCAGAATGACACAGGATCTATCAGGGGCACAGAGTTCGACCTCTTGTAAAAACTCAGTGTTTCGACAGGCTTGCAGGGATGCAGCACCCTGCAAAGAAGTTCTCTGCTCCTACCAGTGTTCCCTCTAAGCTGAGTTAGTGTGAGCTAGCTCACAGTTTTTTAGCCTCCGGCTCACACACCTTTGTCTTAGCTCAGGGAGGAGAGCTCCAGAGCAAACTGATTTATGCAGTCGCCAAATCGCTCGCTCACCACTTTAATGCCACTGGCTCAGAAAGTAGAATTTTTGCTCACAAGACTTCACAGCTTAGAGGGAGCATTGGCTCCTACCCATGGATGTGGGAAGCAAGACAAGGTCTGAAAGAATGGCGGGAAGTTCATAATCAGATCTCCCATTTGGAGGGGTTTTTTTCAAACTGGTTAATAACCATCAATCTGGGGAAGGAAGCAGAACTGGATTTCTGCACAAACTAAATCAGCTACAGACTAGGGCCTCAGATTAGTGTGGGGCATCTTTTAAAAAAGTAGTAAAGTCAAATGTTAGAGTCATACACTTTTTTGGTAATACTATGGGGAGGGCTCTTGACCTTGAAAGAGTTTAGGGCCTCAGCATGTCTTAATCCAGCCCTGGAAGAAAATGTTTACCCCCCTACACACACAGTGTTCTCTTCCCACCCCCATTATACATGCATCAACAAAAGAAAAGAACGCGAAAAGAAAAAACTCAGCCACATTATTGTGCTCCCATTTCTAATTGTTTTTGCAAGGCTAAGAGTAGGAATATGCCACATCCCCTCCTCCAGGGCTCACATGAAAATAGGAATTCCACATGGCCCATTTAAATTTTTTTTAAAGACTGGAGATCTCCTGATTCCTGCTTGTTTTTGCCTATGTTATCTAAAATAAATTGTTGTTGTTCAGTCGCACAGTCGAGTCCGACTCTCCGCGACCCCACGGACCAGATCACGCCAGGCCTTCCGGTCTTCCGCCGTCCTCTGAAGTTTGCTCAGCTTCATGTTCGTTGCATCTATGACACTGTCTAACCATCTCATCCTTTGCCGTCCCCGTCTTCTTTGACCTTCCATCTTTCCCAGCATCAGGGTCTTCTCCAGTGAGTGCTCCCTTCTCATTGGGTGGCCAAAGTCTTTGAGCTTCAGTTTCATTATCTGGCCTTCCAGGGAACAGTCAGGGTTGATTACTTTTAGGATTACTAAAATAAATATATATTAGCAAATTTGCATCCTTTAGACAGATCAAGATTTAAAATGTATAAGGCACATTTTTCTTCCGTTTGCTTTTAACGTATCAGTTAAATACGATGCCACTCTACAAGGCAGAGCTCAGCTTCCAGAAGCAGCACCAGGGTACAGGCAACTTGGTTCTGCTTTCAGAATGCAGGTAGCAGACGGCATGATGGAATGCTCCCTGACTGATGAAAGCTAGCATGTCCAAGAAAAAGGCCCAGCCTTGCTTTCATCAGGCAGGGATTAATATAAAACGGCTTCCTCAATACATGAAGCTGATACCCAACCGAAGAAACCTTAGTTGATCCATCATATCTGCATATGAGAATCAGCTACTGTTCTAAAGAGGGGAAACATACTTCCTTTACATGACACACGTGCATTGCAGCAGGCATCATCTCAGGAGAGGCATTCTCCATTGTCTCAAATTGGAAAGAAGTCCTCTTCTAAGACAGCATTTGTTACCTGCACTTTTTATACTTGCATTGAAGACTATCCAGGGCTTTTTTTGTAGAAAAGTTGGCCACGCCCGGCTGGAACTCATTAGTGTGGTCATCCAGCCACACCCACCTTTCCCTTCTTATTCTGTTTACCTTGTTTGTTGTCAAAACCCAGGGCTTTTTTGTAGCAGGAACTCCTTTGCATGTTAGGCCACACACCCCTAATGTGGCCAATCCTAATGAGTTTCTGCTGTTGGGTGTGGCCTGTTATGCTAATGAGTTCCTGCCGGGCGTGGCCAACTTGGAAGTCAGCCGGAACTCCGTTCCTGCCCAAAAATAGCCCTGATGACTATCTATTAAAAAAAAAAATCTGCTATGCCTGAGTAATCAGGGAGATATTTTTAATTAATTAGACTAAGTAACTAAAAAGGGTGTCCTTAAAAATAAACATTTAATACTTTGAACTGTGTGCCCCAGACAGCATCAGCTCTGGTAGTAGCCCAACAGGCAGACCGTGAAACAAGTAATGTAGAGGCTCACATGAAAGGTGTTTGGGTTTTTTTGTGTTTTTTTTTTAATATTCCCAGGAAAACTGACTTTGGGAAAGAGACAGGCTCTAGGGCCTCTCCACTTGGCCTGCCTCTCCTGAGCTGTTTGAAGCATCCGAGTGGATCGTGACGATATCCCCAAACAGAAGAAAAGATCTCCCAAAACAATGGAAGACCCATCGACTGCTTCTCAAGAAAATAATCACCAGCACAAAAATGAGAAATGAAACAAATTAAAAAACAGGCCCAAGAAATCCTGGGGAAAAGCATGAAGAGATGTCGAATGAACAGAAAAGGGGGGAAAGAAAACACCCATAGGTTTAAAACGGCCTTTGCCTTACCAAAGAAATCATCCCGTACTACGTAAGTCATTCCATATGAGAAAAAGAGGAGGGGGGGGTTCAGAAAGAGAGAGGGACGAAGAAGAGGAAAAAGAGGGAAGAAAAAGAGAGAGAGAAAAGCAGCCGTTAAATTCCAATCTGTAAACGGCAAAAAAAATGGCGATGTACTTTCGGAGCAGGTCTGAGCATGGGAATGAGTTGTGCTGTCCATTTTCATCTGCCTGAGCAGATTTTAAGATAAAGCAATCGGATAGCATGTTCTGGTTCTGTCCTTGTTCTCTGCCCTGGAGAAACAACGGAGCTTCTGACATATCGCCCTTTGGGGAATAAGTGACCAAAAAGACAGTACTGATGAGTCTTGGGGGGAGGTCGGTGAACAGCTGAACAAGACAGTTGTGGGAAGACATCGGGCCTAACTGAGAACTCCTCAGTATGAAATCGGTACAGTGTTGTCTAACGAGCGGCAATCAAGAAAAATCAAAGCTAGAGACTGCTGCGGCTGTTCTTTCCGTCACAAGCAAACTTCTGTTCACAAACTGTTTAAGCTCCAAGGTGAGCTTGCAAGGGCATGATCCAGCAACCTTGCTAAAGGGAAGATCTCCAGGGAACCCTATACAAAGCACCATGGATTCCAGAATGGAAGAAATACAGGATAAAAATGGGGGAGAAATCAATCAATCGGATATTTGATTGACTTTTGGGACTTATATATTCATTCCTCCACTCACACCTGAAACAAAGAAAATCATCTAGTCTGTATTATGAACAATGGGACATAAATGGCACATTTCCCACTGCCATTTGAAAACTTCATTTATCCTCCAGCAGGAAGGCTACCTCCATCCCTTTCCTGTTAGATGAATGGAGGAGTACAACACAGAAGAAAAGCCCTGCTGGATCAGGTTAAGGGTAGCCAGTGCCCAGCTGCGGCCAACCAGATGCCTTAAGCCAGGCAAGAGCCAGGCAAGATCTGGCATTCAGAAATATCTGGCAAGAGCCAGGCAAGATCTGCCATTCAGAAATATACTGTCCCAGCACACAGATGCTTCAGTTGCTGTTCCAGGCCCACAGCCATTACGTGGTCTTCCCTCCCTGGATTTGTCTAACATTTTGCAAAAGCATCTAAGCTTGGAAAAGTGAATTCCTACAGTAATTCTAGAGGAAAGACTTTCTTCCATCTGTCCTACATTGACTTTGGAACAACTGCATTGAGTGGCCTCCACATTCTAGCATGATTAGACAGTCAGAGGGAAACAATCTTCTCTCTCCACGTCCTCCACACCATTCATGATCTGGTAAACATCTGTCATCCGTGTGTCCTCCACTTAAACCTTCTTTGTAATCTAAAACTGTCCAGAATTCTTTACCTTAGACCGAAGGTGCCCCACGACCTTAACCGTCTGATTCCTTTCTCTGTGCCTGCTCTAGGATATCCTACTGAGGTAAACCTTTTAAGTACTGAGTGTAGATCTCGTTTCCTCATAGAGCAGGTGCAGAGAAAGGTACTTAACTGCCTCCCGAAGTATACACATTCAATACTCATCTAGAAAATGTGTTCTTTGTTAGAGTCCAGCTATAGCTCCAATGGTCAACTCCATCCCTCATTCCTCCACAAACTTGTCAGCTGTGAGAACTGAGCCTACCCACCTACCTATGCCATGACACCTACAAGATGAATTTGCTAGGAAGGAGGAACCTAATAGATTTATTGCCTGCCCTGGAAAACAAAATCCCTCTCCATAGCAAGCATCCATTAACAGCAGGTCTGTCCCGCCTCCCGGGTCCCAAAGAGAGAGGGGTCAAAGAAGTAGAGCATGGGTGCAGAAAACCACCCCAAAAAAAGCTTATCAGGATGTAGTGGGCCAAGTGAGCAAAAAGCAGAGATGTTCTAACGGGGGTTTGGAACCTTAAACTGTGCAAGCCAATCAGACAAGGGAGAGGCAGGACAAAGGCTGCAAAGCCAACCGTGATTGGACAACAGCAGGGGAGTATCACATGTGTATACCCATGTCATTTTATTCAAAAACTTGAAAAAGGGGAAGGGGCAGAAAAGAAATCAAAGGCGGGGAGGGGGACAAACAAGAAATCTGAACAAAAGAGAGATACACACCTGAAAACTCCCCTATGGGCCATGTCCAGCGAAGCACAGAGAGACAAGAGGGGAGGAAAGGAAGTGGGGGGGAAAAAAGAGTCAATCAGTGACCAAAACCAACAAAATAAAAAAGTCTGGATAAAAAAAAAATTAACAATGACTGTGCCATTTCAATGTCAAAAGGCATGAAATAGTAAGAGACAGGACCTGCCGTGATTGCAAATGGCATGAATCTACGTGAGGGACATTTGGAGGAATGGGGTACGGTCGGTTTTTCCCCCCAATGGAAACAAGGGCGAGGAGCAGTGTTCCCTCTAAGCTGAGTTGAGTCAGTGTGAGCTAGCTCGCAGTTTTTTAGCCACCGGCTCACACATTTTTGTCTCGACTCAGGACGGAGGGCTCCAGAGCAAGCTAATTTATGTAGCAGCCCAATAGCTGGCTCACAACTTTAATGCTCGCAACGTTGAATTTTTGCTCACAAGACTCTGCAGCTTAGAGAGAACATTGGTGAGGAGTTCTATTTCTGGATTGTTTACAATTCTGGATAGAACCTCACTTTCTCACTAATGTTTCCTACAAGGCTTGCCATTTCAGCTGCAAGACAAAAGGCCGTTTCTTGGCTTGGATCTTCTCCCCACCTTAATGAAGAGGATAAAAACCTCACAACCTTTTTTGGGCAACTAACTTTCACAGTCACGCCCGTGATCTTCCAAAGGCACTGATTAAACATTGGCTAAAACCAGCCGGCATCACTTGGCCTTAAGTCCAAAGCTGCCCACGGGCCTGTAGCTTATCAACCGGGCATTTCTGCAACTCCAGGAAAACGAGCCAAACCAAGAGAGTTGGGGCCTGGTTTAGTCAAGCAACAGAATGAGGGGGGTAGAAGCTTGTGGTGGTAGAATGGACTGCACCACTTCATACTTTGACTGTTTCTTCTGTATACACAACTTCCTGCAACCAGGAAGCTCGCACAACTGAGGGGGGGGGGAGCTGCTCCCTCTGATGATTTTCTAGTTGCTGAAAGCTTTCACCAGAGGGAACATGCCGACGTGTAAACCTCCTCCCTGCAGTCATTCTACCACTTCAGCATCCTGAGACCTCATTCTGCTACAGCTGCAGACCAGACTTCAGAGGTTTCGGTGGGCTGCCTGACAGAGCTCAAAGTGAGCAGGTCGGCGTTCAAGATACAGATTAAAGACCTGGATTTTGCCTCTTTGCTCCTGGATTTAAAGATATTGCATCACTTACCGCTTTCTGTGTCCTTTGGGCTCCTCTCGTCATCAGACATTCCCTCTCAGTTGAGGGAACAAAAGCATTATTGCTCCAAAACACCCACCTAGGAGAAAACGGAGTTGCTTCCACCCACCCTCCACCCCAGCAGCCGCAGCTATGGTTCAACAGCCAGCTGCCCCTCCCTTCAAGATTCTGGACCAGGCAATGCAAGAATACATTCGTCTACCAGAAAACCCCACTGAGCTGCAATGAAGGAGGGGAAGATGGAAACATAGATCCATGGCTAGGGTGGAAAAGGAGAGGAATTCAGTTAAGCAGTTAAACAATTCTGTGTTGATTTTTCCCAGCAATGGGGGACAGACTCTAATCGATGATTCCTATGTTCAGATGGATGTAAATATCTGCCACGAGTTGACAACTGCTCCATGACAACCCATTTTTCAGGTCTCGTTGGAAGCCATTTGTGCATAAATGCAGAAAAAGAAATCTTCCTGCACCAGAACGGAGGAGGTGGAGAAATCAGAAGAGAACAGCCATGGCATTCTTGGCTCTATTATAACCTTTTTGTTTTACTGATTTTGTACTGTCATTTTACATGACATCGATTTTGCCAGTCACCTGGAGCACATCCAATGGAAAAGCAGGCTACAGATTTAGTAAATTAAACAAAATAAGCCATAGGGGGCATTGGGTGAGAATTCTGCGAGGAAGGGGAGCGAGCCAGCAAGACGCGAGCACAAGTTCGGGCATGGGAAAGAACTTGGTGCAACCCAAAAGCAAGAGGAGGGGAAGGAAATAAAAAATGCCGGAAGCAGAAGCTTATGAGCATTGAGAAACTCTGCAGTTATGCCAATAAAGGTTATTGGAATTGGAGAAACTCTGCATTGTGGTTCTTTAGTTATTAAATGTAGTCATTATCTGATCTGCTTATTGATTATTCACTTCCTTTTATAAACTGTTTAAGGGGACACCAGGAGCACTGATTTATTAACTTACTAAAATACCAGCTGGAATTTTTATTACGTAAAGCTGTGTGAAAGCTGGGAATCTGTACAAGGATAGAAAAAGTACTGCTGGTTACAGAATGCAGCCTAGTTGGTTACAGAACGCAACCTGTGTAGGGTTTTTTTTTTTAAGTTCCTAGTCCTTATGATTGCAAAGAGTTGTCTGAAAGTACTGTGGATAATCCCTGATGAAATCTCAAAAAAAGGAAGGAAGGAAGGAAGGAAGGAAGGAAGGAAGGAGAAGGAAGGAAGGAAGGAAGGAAGGAAGGAAGGAAACAGAGAGAAAGAGAGAGAGAGAGAGAAGGAAGGAAGGAAGGAAGGAAGGAAGGAAGGAAGGAAGGAAGGAAGGAAGGCAAAAAGAGGGAGCGGGGAAGGATTTTCAGCAGTCAGAGGTATGCACAGTCCTTCAGGGACAGTCATTCCTGGATTACGACACTTTAAATTGTGGGGAAACTCCCTGCATGAAGAAAACAAGCACAGCAGGCAGAAGATGGGGGGGCACCAGTGAACTCAATAGTACCTCAGCCTTCTCTAGGTTAGCAGAGTAAGTCATGCAAATTAGTCAAGACTGCAAAATAAAGAGCAGAAAATGCTAAATTTCCTTAATTTGAACATGATGCAGGATTCTGGGATTCCTGGTGCACACACTGCCCTGGCTGACTGAATGATCGTGCAGTCCTATGCCAGTGAATCTTTCCAACTTCATGCAGGATGGAACTGAAAGAATCTACCCATACTCTGGAGAACTCCGAGGTGTTAGCCATGTGCCTAATTGCTCCTCCACTCTGGAACGTCAAGCGTTAAATAATCTACCTGGGCCTCCTTCAGCTCTTCGCTCAGGTCCTCCTCCTCTCTCAGCTTAGCCTACCTCAAAGGATCAGCAGTGAGGGCCAAGCAAAGGAGGCATTTCAAAAGCAGCACTCAGCCGGCATCCTTTACCTAACAGATCTGCTCCTTCGTCCACATCTCCGATGGCTTCGGAGCCCACCTCAGTAAGCTCGGTGTACAGCGAATCCGTGTTGATGCCAAACGCTTTGTTGACGATACCTTGAGTTGGGCTGTTGTGCGAGGAAGGAAAAAAACAGAAACAAAGACATGCAGTGACTGGCCACACTTCCTGCTTCTCAATGCATCATCATTGCATGCCATTTGTGGAAGACCCAGGGACCTGGGGAGGGTCTGGAGCAGTGTTCCCTCTAAGATGAGTTAGTGTGAGCTAGCTCACAGTTTTTTAGCCTCTGGCTCACACATTTTTGACTTTGCTCAGGAAGGAGGGCTCCAGAGCAAGCTAGTTGATGCAGTAGCTAAACTGCTTGCTCACAATGTTAATGCCAGTGGCTCCCAAGGTAGAATTTTGGCTCACAAGGCTCCGCAGCTTAGAGGGAGCATTGGTCTGGAGTCAGAGGCAGAACATGTGCTTGGCAAACAGAAGGCCACCTTTGGCTCAAGACTTTGGAGAACTGCAGACAATCAGAGCAGGCAATACTGGGCTAGGTGGTCAAAGGGTCTGACTTGGTATAAGGTAGCTTCATAGACATATACATTTACTTGGAAACTGGCAGATGAGAGGGGGGAAATGGAGCATCTAAGATCAGGCAGGGGAACGGCTAACCATTTCCATCTCAGTGCAGAAACAGCAACCATCAGGGGTTTGTTAGATACATTTAAGAACATAAGAGAACATAAGAACATAAGAGAAGCCAATGTTGGATCAGGCCAATGGCTCATCCAGTCCAGCACTCTGTCACACAGTGGCCAAAAATACCAGGTAGGACAAAAAAGAGAAAAGGGGAAAAAACTGAACCTAAAACCTAGAATTCAGAACCTAAAAAGGTTAGTCAAGAATAGAAGAGGGCCAACTCTAAAAATCTAATTATGAAACATACAAAAATATACATGTATTTATTCAACACAAATTAAATTAACAAATAAGGGCCCATTCATACCTCATATACAAATATAAAAACATACAAAGGCTAATGAAATAGACCTAAAAGGGAAAAGGGAAAGGTTCCCTTGCTCGAAAGCCAGTCGAATCCGACTCTAGGGTTGCGGTGCTCATATCCGTTTCAACGCTGAAGAGCCAGCGCTGTCCGAAGATGTTCCCGTGGTCATGTGGCCGGCATGACTAAACACCAAGGCGCACGAAACGCTGTTCCCTTCCCACCGAAGGGGTACCTATTTATCTACTTGCAATTTCTTGCTTTCTAACTGCTAGGTTGGCAGGAGCTGGAACTAGAGACGGGAGCTCACTCCGTCATGCGGCACACTCGGGTCTTGAACTGCTGAACTACCGACCTTCCACAGCCTGCAGTGACTGCCTGACAAGAGGCAATGCACATAACAATTTAAAACAAACAAAACATGTACCTATTTCCCGTCCGCTCCAGCCTGGGATCCTGACACATGTCCAACTCAGGAGTGGAGTCGATGTCTTGAAAATCTGACCCCTCATCACTACTTCCCATTCCTACCAGACGAAACGAGAGAAAAACAAGAAGCTGAGGAAGGCCGATGAAGCTGGGGACCCAAGAAGGGTGGCGTACACTTCTCTGCTTATTGAGGAGATGGGTGATGCAGTTCTCACTGCAGAAGATCACAGATTATAGTCCTTTTCACACAAGGTCCTACAGAGTTTAAATGAGAATGAGCAGGGGTCATTTCCTGCAGGAGCGCACAGGAACGGAGCTCCGGCAGTAAAGAGCCCAGGGGGCGAGCACATGCAAGAAGCCCCGCCCCCTGCTCCCAGCAGCCCTCAGTCAGAGCAAGAAGCAGCCAGGTAACTTGCAGTGGGTGTTGCCTTCTGACACACTTCCGGTGATGTTGGGGTGTGTGGCATATGCAAATAAGTTATGCTGATGAGTTATGCTAATGAGCTCCTGCACCTCTTTTTCTACTAAATGACCCCTGAGAATGAGCCATTTGTTTGCCAGGCAGAACCTCTATCAAGTTGCTTCCCAAACAAAGAAACAGCACACACTATGTCCTTGAGCACAGAATGGAAATCTCGTTTATGAAGATTGCCGTCCACCCCATATAAGTCCATCACACACCTTCAAGTAAGGGCAGCGCTGTGGCTCAGTGGCAGAACATCTGCTTGGTATGCAGAAGGTCCCTGGTTCTATCCCAACCATCTGCTACAGCATCAGGTAGCAGGTGAAGAGAAATACCTCCACCAGAAAGCTGCTGCTGGTTATATCAGAAAATACATACCTTGACAGTCCAGTGGTCTGACTTCACCTAAAGTGCGTTGTACACATATCAGGCATGGAATTTGTCACTGCAACAATCTTATGTATCACAGCAGTATTTAGAATTTTCTCGGTCAAAATCACCACCTTTGGTTTTTATCTCATCTCTCCCACATAATGGCTGCATACATTTGTCATTTGTTGTTGTTCAGTCGCACAGTTGAGTCCAACTCTTCGCGACCCCATGGACCAGATCACGCCAGGCCTTCCTGTCTTCCGCCGTCCTCTGAAGTTGGCTCAATTTCATGTTTGTTGCATCTATGACACAGTCTAACCATCTCATCCTTTGCTGTTCCCGTCTTCTTTGACCTTCAATCTTTCCCAGCATCAGGGTCTTCTCCAGGGAGTGCTCCCTTCTCATTGGGTGGCCAAAGTATTTGAGCTTCAGTTTCATTATTTCATTATCTTCCAGGGAACCGTCAGGGTTGATTTCTTTTAGGATTGACTGATTTGATCTTCTTGCAGTCCAAGGGACTCTCAAGAGTCTTCTCCAGCACCATAGTTCAAAAGAATCTATTCTTCGGCGCTCGGCCTTCCTTATAGTCCAACTCTCGCAGCCATACATGACTACTACATTTGTCGTAACAAGTTGTAATTAAACGGGTATCTTGCAATAACACAGCTTCTTTGCTATAGTCCGCTCAAACCTTGGCACGTGAATACAGCAAACAAGCTGCACTCGTGCTCAATCTGAGATCAATCACAGCTTGCCACAATGTCTGAATGCGGCCAAGATGACCATAAGTCATCCCTCCACGTGCCTTGTCTGTTCTGAGGGAGATGGCCTACCCTAAAGCAGTGTTGCCAGTTTGAGTCTCCCTCCCTAAGGAATGGTGCTTCACCCCATCTTTGATGGCATTCCGTAGGAGGCTTAAGGCAGGCTTTTGTGGCTGTATTACAGGGTGTGACAGATCTGTGAGGTTTTTTACTGACGCTAGCTTTAACTGATGCTAAGTTCTTAAGCGTGTTGATGTCATATTGCTGACTGTTGTTCTGTCTTCAGCAGCAGGGTCTCAGGCCAGCTATGGGATCCTCAGGAGTAGGGGTCAGCACAATAGTTGGGACGTGCAAAGTTCCCTCTAAGCTGAGTTGGTGTGAGCTAGCTCACGGTTTTTTAGCCTCCAGCTCACACATTTTTGTCTTAGCTCAGGAAGGATGGGTTCCAGAGCAAACTAATTTATGCAGTAGCCAAATCGCTCGCTCACAACTTTAACGCCAGCAGCTCACAAAGTAGAGTTTCTGCTCACAAGACTCCAGAGCTTAGAGGGAGCATTGGTGGGGAGTCTAGGTCTGGCCTTCAAAGAGCCACAGAAGTCAAGGTCATAGTCTGGGTCTTGTGTTCACCCTGAAACCAAGGCACTAGCAATGTGAACTGGCTGAACTAACAAGGCTCTCTTGCTTAGGTCTGAGCTTTAAATACCCTGCAGAGAAAGAAGCTCCACTTGTTTCTGGGCTTGTTGGAATCTTGGTCCTGCAGAGCACTACATGTAGACTGAGGGTGGCCACCAAGTCCACTGCTTCATCACTGTCGAGCACCTGCTGTCTCTGTCACTCTCACCAGGCGGATGGAGAACTGGGGAGAGAGCTGGTGGTGCTGGATCCGGCCCTACGACTCAAGGGGCTGGCTATTCCAGAGCCTGGCATGTTGGCAGGACTGTTTGGAGCGAAGGCACGGGACCATGCCCTCAAACTGAAGCACTGGACTCCAAGGGTGCATTCAGATGGGGCATTTGCAACGGTATAGGTGCCGGTTGCAATCGGTGAACTTACCGGCGGTCACACGTAGAACATCTGCCTTCCGTCCCTAACCGTTGCAAAGCCCTTTAAACCGTTGTACTCTGCCACTAGGTCCCCAAGTGGTGGTATCCTGAGTGCAACGGTTGTAATCGGTTTACCCCCGTCTGACCGCTCTCCGCCAGTGTCTAGCGACTTCCGTTCGGAAGCCCAAGGCTTCCGATTTTCGCCCGCCATTTTTTTTTTAGGTTGCCAAAATGCGCTTGGGCAAAGCTTTGCCCCAGCGTTTGTTTTTTTAAAAAAGAAAAGGCCCTTAGTTTAACTTTCCGGAGGAGTCCGGGACTTCAGGGAGGCCAGTTTGGGCTTTAAACTTTAAAGGTAAGTCCTTACCTTTAAACTTTAAATGTAATACGGGGTGTTTTGAGCATGCGCAAAGATCGCCATTCTGTGGATGGCTGGCTATGCGCATGCTCAAACTGAGTTTTTAAAAAAACAAAAACGCCGACGCCCACAGCATGTGAACGGGCATACACCTATGGGCTCTGCTGTGAGGGAGGTAAGTGTGATCGCGTTTCAGCCGGCATAAACTGCACCAGTTCCAACCGGTACAGTTTATGCCAGCTGAAACGCCCCGTCTGAATGCACCCCAAAGGCTCTGGGGGATTGTCCAAGGTCGCCAGGTGTTCCCTGAGCCCCCCAGGAGGGTCCCTGGCTCATCCTGGTTATTTTCAGGTGAGGAGTCCATTCCTGGGCCTGCGGAGGTCACGACCCTTGTATGGAGTTCAGCTGTAACGGAAGATGGGCCATGTCTTTTGTTGCGCCCTGCCCAGAGGGTTCACTTTACAGATGGAAGAGCAGGATATAAATTATTTTAGGAAACAAAAGCCATATAAAATACATTTTTTTTAAAAAAAGTGAAAACAATTTTCAAAATGTGTACACGCCGCTAATACAACCATGCTTAGCTCGACCTCCACAATAGCCAGAAGCAGGAGTCATTTCGTAGAAAAAGAGGTGCAGGAGCTCATTAGCATAACTCATGGGCATAACTTATTTGCATAGGCCACACCCCCTGACATCACGGGAAGTGTGTCAGAAGGCAACCCCCACCGCCCAGGCTCCACTGGACTCTTTTGGATTGCTAGCTATTGGGGGGGGGGGGAACGTGCAGCTCTATCCTTGCAGAGGAGGGAGAGCTTGTACCTGAATAAAACTTGGTCTTAAAGGTGCCACTGGACTGTTTTGGACCGGGGGGCGGGGGGTGCTCTGCAACTTACCTGGCTGCAGGGTGCTCTGCAACTTACCTGGCTGCTTCTTGCTCTGACTGAGGGCTGCTGGGAGCAGGGGGTGGGGCTTGTTGCATGTGCCCGCCCCCTGGGCTCTTTACTGCCGGAGCTCCGCTCCTGTGCGCTCCTGCAGGAAATGACCCCTGGCCCAGAAGAGCTTTAGCTATAAGGGAGGAGGGTTTTCTTCGAATTGTTAAGACCAAGTCCAATGACAGGGAGCAGGATGAGGCCCACCGCCAGTCAGGAAGCAGCCCAAGGCCTAGCCAGTGCCTACAGCTAGCCATACCTATGCACACATTCCTCATCTCCTGGGTGACCTGGACCTCCATATTCCGACTGTTCCGCTTCTCCCGAGACCGTTTGTTGTTCTTGGCTGTGATGCTGTAATCGTTCATGGGCTGGAGGCTCTCATTCAAGGGGGTGACGGCAGCGGAGGGAACGGATGAGGTGGGCGTGTTGGATTTTGTCCCGGTGGTGCTCGGCGTTGCAGCGGCAGAGGACTGTCCAGATTCAGACATTTGCTCAGTTGGGCACTGTTAACCCGGCATGGATTGGAGCACAGGGGGGAAGAAAAGGGGGGAAAGGTGTCAGTATGTATTAGCTGATTCCCCCATTGGTGGCTGCCTTGTAGCATTATAGGATGCGAGTGCTACTCACTAAGAAGCCCACCATGGCAACGATCAATGAGCAGCTTGCACAGCCAGTTGTGACGCAATGCTTCCGATTGTCATCTAAACTTAGAAGCGCCAGGCCCAATTCCCACAAAGCAGGCTGGGTGCCCTCTTAACCCACTAGCCTCACCGACCCCCCCCCCACAGGTCTGTTGTAAGGGATAAACTAAACTAGAACTCTAAAATGGCCCATTACTCTGAAGTGCGCGTGTGTACAACACTCACATACATATAAAAAGCATATTGCTTCAGATCTAAGAGACTCCCATGTCCCTTCAGGCTATTCTTCTTTGAAAGAAGAAGAGGTGGGATGGATCAGACCACTAAAACAGCTCAGGGACAAGCCACGCAGCTGCAGCCTAGCCGGTGACCACGGCAGACATGAGCTCACCCACTGCCTCCTCCTACGCTGCCAAGCACCATCCAGGCTAGACTTGCGCTCAGGCAGCAGCCCATCCGGAGACTTCCTGGCAAGTTAAACTGGGTTCAGAACCTAAAAAGGTTAGTCAAGAATAGAAGAGGGCCAAGTCTAAAAATCTAATTATGAAACATACAAAAATATACATGTATTTATTAAACACAAATTAAAATAACAAATAAGGGCCCATTCATACCTCATATACAAATATAAAAATACAAAGGCTGATGAAATAGACCTAACGCGTTTCGGCCTTCACAGGCCTTCCTCAGAGGTCTAATGCAAATAGAACATATTGGCTAATATGTAAAAATATATACAATCAAGCATATACAAAATATGAAATAAAGACCAGAAAACCATTGTTCCAAAGTTAAACCACTGGGCAAAAATACAAATGAAACCTCCAGTGCAATCACATGTCCAGTAGTACTTCTCTCTGGTCAACTATATATTCTCCTGAGATTGTATAGCCAAATGTTCCCAATGAAATATTCTTTAGTTTATTTAGTTGGCTCCGCCCCAAGTGTAGTTAGGTCTTTTTTATTCTCTGGGCTATGCCTGGGTTCTATATGTTTACTGATTGTGACTATGTACTTGTCATATTTTATGCCAATTTTATGTACCTATTTTACCCCTTTTGCATTCTCTTTTGGTCAAGACTTCGGTCATATAGACCCGTAATAAAATTGAATTGAAATATTCTTTAAGTTAAAAGCAGTGTTGCTCAAAGAAGTGTTGGACCTATACTACTGGACATATACATTGTATATATTTTTTACATATTAGCCAATATGTTCTATTTGCATTAGACCTCTGAGGAAGGCCTGTGAAGGCCGAAACGCGTTAGGTCTATCTCATCAGCCTTTGTATTTTTATATTTGTATATGAGGTATGAATGGGCCCTTATTTGTTATTTTAATTTGTGTTGAATAAATACATGTATATTTTTGTATGTTTCATAATTAGATTTTTAGAGTTGGCCCTCTTCTATTCTTGACTAACCTTTTTAGGTTCTGAATTCTAGGTTTTAGGTTCAGGTTTTTTCCCCCCCCTTTCCCTTTTTTGTGCTTAAGTTAAACTGGGTCCCAGTAACCTGGGAGAATGGTGGGCCAATCCGTCCCCATTCCCGCAGACCTCAAAGCATTATCCTGTTATAGATATCTATAAAACCACAGAGTCGGAAGGGACGGAGCCACTCTACCCGCACATGACCAAGACGGCTCTGTAGAGTTGCCAGGCCAGGGTTGGAAAATACCTGGAGACTTTGGGGGTGGAGCCAGGAGAGGGCGGGGTCTGGGGAGGGGAGGGGCCTCAGCATGGTACTATGCCGTAGAGTCCACCCTTCAAAGCAGCCATTTTCTCCAGGGGAACTGATCTCTGTCAGCTGGAGATCAGTTGTAAAAGCGGGAGATCTCCAGGCCCCACCTGGAGGCTGGCAACCCTATGGCTCTGTGGCCCCAAAGGGTTTATGCTTCAGCTAGGAGTTGCTCAGGACAGATTCACAGGGACGAAGGAGCCACAAGGATCCAGTCCAAGTCCCAGCAATGACTTGCAAGGGGACCTCGAAACACAAAACCAGAAAACGGCACCGTTAAAACAGGCATGCGTTTTGATAAAGCAAGCTCTCAAGTTTAATTCCCTGTAGTGCCTTTCATAATAGGACATTCCCTGCACGGTAACCAAGGAAACAGCTGGGAGATGTGCAAACCGATCGCCTCTGAAGTGGGGCAGACCAATGGCAGCAGAATTCTAGGCATGCAAAGCCAACACCGTCCCTTACCTCTCATTCTGCACAAGTGATGGGAGAAGGCCCTAACATTAGCTCTGTTTCCTTGCACGGACTGGGAATAAAAAATGGCCTTGGAAGAGCCCCTCCTCTAGCCAGCTGCATGGGGCTCAGCCAGACCAGGCCCCGCCTTCTCAGATGGGCCCCAACTTCCCCACACTGCATGGGGCTCAGTCAGGTGCCACCGTTCCCACCATCAGACTGGCTCAGCAGGCGATTGGCCCGCAAAGAAAATTCCCAGTAGCCGTTAATAGCCAATCTGCTCCTCAGTTCTGCATTCCCTACCCATACCTCCATCCATCCATCCACCACCATCCAATTTCTCCTCTGGAACAATGGTTGGACCAGAGCTAGCCAACTTCCTGCTTCAAATACAGGGTCAATCTCTAGGGGAAAAGGTATCACACTTTTCCAGGGACGCTTCGGAAACAGCGGCACCCGTGTGAACCATTTATTTTGTATGTATGATCAGAATCCAAACCTCCCCCCCCCCAATTTCATCAACTGACGGCTCAGTTCACACAAAACAGGGCTCCCCGGTTGAGTCCGGAGTCCTTACCTTGTGTCAGATGTAACACAGTCAGATGTGATTTGAAAGTTCTCCACAACCCCTACATGTGCAGTACCCACTTCAGATCAGAATTGTGATGCATATGTAGAAGCCTTCCCCTGTACAGCCTAAGACTGTCCGGGGAGGGGACGGGACAATATTTCAGGAAACCCACATGTTCCCTGGGACACACATTTCCCCAACAGGCAAAATACTGGGAACTGTTTCAGGTTGGGAAAATGGCCCAGAGAAAAGCTGTGGAGAAAAGCTCCACAGGAGCCAGTCCTGATCTGAATCAGGTACTGCACAAACAGAAACTGAGGAGAATCCATCACTTATATCTGACTGTGTTACGTGTGTCACAGATCTGACCTTCATACTCCATAATGAGTGAATAAACCCTAACTCTCAACCAGTGTTCCCTCTAAGCTGAGTTAGTGTGAGCTAGCTCAGAGTTTTTTAGCCTCCGGCTCACACATTTTTGTCTTAGCTCAAGAAGGATGGCTCCAGAGCAAACCAATTCATGCAGTAGCCAAATCGCTGGCTCACAACTTTCATGCCGGTCGCTCACAAAGTAGAATTTTTGCTCACAAGACTCCACAGCTTAGAGGGAACATTGCTCTCAACTTCTGCATAGATAGTTTAAGGAATAGCTCTCATTACAATGGTGGCAATGATGAGACTGATACCGGTACAGGCTTCTGTTCTTGTACAATCCCAACTATGATTTCACAGCTCTAAAAAAAAAAAATAACAGCATAGCAGAATGACAAATTAAAATTGTGACAAGATGGCTGCTCAACCCTTTGCAATCATACCTTTCTGAAAGGCAAAGGATGCTCTGCTTGAATGAGAAACTAGATTTGGAGTCGTGTATGTTGATCTGACCCAGTGAATACACAGGGACTCTCCTCTGACTAAGCAATGACAAAACAATCTTTGGTATAATGGCCCTTCCTCTACATACATGCACTGGATGCCTTAATCCAGTTCTGCAGTTGCACTAAAAGCTGTCTTAAAATACAGTGGGGCAGAGATTGGTTTGCACACCACCGAGAAGGATATTGCTTTGTTTGCACCCTACTGCTTGGAGGAGCAAGGCGTATTAGGAGCAAATTTAAGGCATCCTATTTGTTTCCCGGGCTCCTGGGAACCTAACTCTGGAGATACTTGGGGGCAGTAGCATTCCAAAGGGTGTGTAATTGATTAATGGTTTCAGACTAATTGGAATTAAGGTGCCCACCAACACAGAAGGCCACCAACTACAGTTGTGTAGGAGTCAGAGGTCGGCCCCATCTCTTCCCTGTAGGTCATTTCGGGGATGGGTAAGTGTACACCCAGAGTTATTGAATAATTCAAACTGATTACTCAGCCTCAGAGGAGATTGCCTGTTGAATCTCTGCATGAGTCAGTGCTCTGGGCTTCCTTCCTTCCTAGTAATTAGCAACTTGTACATAAACACAGTGGCTAAGTTTTACTCAAACATACTCTATAGTAACCTTTTTGTTTTGCAGTACAGAGGTGGAGCATGCCTCACAGACACTGCATGTGATAAGTTACATCAGAATCCACAGTACTCTACAACACGGAGTTCTCCAGCTCACATCACAAGTGACAGATTTCCTACACCCAAATTACTTCTGTTTTAGAAAGTGCATGGGTCCCACATGTAGGCAGCAATTCTGCATGCTTATGCTACTGACAGGAGGTCAACCAAGGCCTCCTACTCAACACACACGCACAGAGCGATTTACAGCGACTTCAATCTACACATGGGAACTGCACTTTTTCCTACATAAAAGTCACTTCTATGAAAAGATTGACATGTGAAGCAGCCCTTGTATGAAACCTATGTTTGGGCTGAAGATATTTTACTTCATCATCTTCCTGTGGTAGAGTGAGAGTGCAACTTCCCACCAGGTACATTCGCCCTGCCTCTAAGGTCACAAGATATCCACCTGCAGGTGTAACGTTTGAAGTATGCAGACAAATGTGCTTCAGCTTGACTAGGATAACAGAAGAAGAAGAAGAAGAAGAAGAAGAAGAAGAAGAAGAAGAAGAAGAAGAAGAGGAAGAGGAAGAGGAAGAGGAAGAGGAGGAGGAGGAGGAGGAGGAGGAGGAGGTGGAGGACTGTGGAAGAGGAAGAGGAAGAGGAAGAGGAAGAGGAGGAGGAGGAGGTGGAGGAGGAGGAGGAAGGAGGAGGAGGAGGAGGAGGAGGAGGAGATTGGATTTATACCCCGCCCTTCTCTTGGAGTCTCAGAGCGGCTTACAAACTCCTCTCCCTTCCCCTCCCCACAACAGACACCCTGTGAGGTGGGTGGGGCTGAGAGAGCTCTGACACAAACTGCTCTTTTTCAAGGACAGCTGTGCCAGAGCTTGTGACTGACCCAAGGTCACATCAGCAGGTGCAAGTGGAGGAGTGGGGAATCAAACCCGGTTCTCCCAGATTAGAGTCCGCACACTTCACCACTACACCAGACTGGCTCAAACTGAATATCTGGGATTTCAACCTTTCTCATTCTTGTCCCACCCTTCCTCTCAGGTTGAGAGCAACTGGCCCAACCAAGCGTCTTGGCAGAGTAAAGATCTGAACCCAGGTCTCCAAAACTGTAGGCCAGCATTAACTACTATACCACATTGGCTTTCTGTAACTCTGTAAGCAGGTGAAGACTTCTTTTGTTTTGTTTAGAGATCCCTTTCTGCCCAATGTATTAGTTGTTGCCTTCATGTTTTTGTACATATTTTAGCTCTGGTTTTAACTGTTTAGATCCTGCTATTTTTTTGATCTGACACGGGCAGCTTTGACTCTTGAAAACTGGCTTGAATCGTGCTCTGTTTTTTCATGTTTTTTTAAGATGTGATTTCATTATGCACGTTTTCATTTGTTAGCTGCCTTGATGAGGGCAGAAAGGCAAGTTATACATTTTGCAAAATAAATAAAATAGCCCAAACAGAATGTACCACACTAACTGGGCCTTGATGTGTTGGGTTTACGACCTTTTGGCCCCTATTCAAACATCATGGCCAGTGTTCTTGCAAGCAGGGCAACCTTGCCTGGAGGCCAGGACAGGAAGGTTCGATTGCACTCTCCTGCTGGGTGCAGGAAGAAAACTGAACAAAGTATCATCTCCCTGGACTTAACAGAAAAGGAGAGAAAATAAAGAGAGAACCCCTCAAAGCCAGGGTTTAGCTCAGCAAAGCATCCGTGCAGAAACAGGTATAAAGCTGCAAAGGGTTCCGGACACACAGAGCTCTCCTTATGAAGACGCTATTAACACAGAGGCGGGCAGCCCTCCTCGCAGGACGGTGTATAAAACCTTGTAGCTGGAGTGGGACTGCAGCTGGCCGAGGTCAGTCAGGTGCCAGTGGTCCACTGCGGGGGCGATCTTGGCCCCCACCTGCCCACGTACCATGCCATCTGTGAGGGGGATGTTCAGCGAATTGGGACGGCTCCTATGAGAGGGAGACAGACAGACAGACAGAAGAGAGGAGGGGAAGCGTCAGAGAAACCAGCCAACATTGGAAATATAGACACCAACAAAACAAACCTTTGCAGTTATAGTGGAAGCAGCTTAATTACTTTCCCACTCAAACATGCTCCAAATGTCCTGGCTCTTGTGGAACAAATCTAGGGCTGAAATCATCCAGACCTAGAATGGCACAGGGGTCTCTTGCAAAGAACATTTTGCAGGATTTGTCACACCCTGAACACTCCCTGTTTGAACTGCTGCCTTCGGGTAGAAGATATAGGACAATCAAAACAAGGACAGACAGATTAAAAAACAGTTTTTATTCGAGAGCTATTATTGCTTTAAATGCTGTACGAATTGGAATTTGGGTGACGTTGGTGGTTTAAGTTGCAATGTGAACCCTAATGGTTGTGTGAGTGTATATGAGTATGCTTGTAGATCACCGAATGATTGCACCTTAATTTCGTTGTACTATGTACAATGACAATAAAGTAATGCCCTGCAATTCGCAGGAAGCACAGAATCGCTCTTCAGTGCTACCATCCTACGATGAGGTTTCTATGTACTTTGGAGACAACGCTGCTGTTCCAGGAAACCAGTTTATGCAGATTGCACAGCTCTCTTTGTACAACTGTACTGCTGTTTTATAGGAGCTACGGTGGCTCAAGTGGTTAAGACGCTGAACTGCAGGCTGTGGAAGGTCGGTAGTTCGGCAGTTCGAGACCCGAGTGTGCCACATGACGGAGTGAGCTCCCCGTCTCTGGCCCCAGCTCCTGCCAACCTAGCAGATCGAAAGCAACAAATTGCAAGTAGATAAATAGGGACCGCTTCGGTGGGAAGGGAACAGCGTTCCATGCGCCTTGGTGTTTAGTCGTGCCGGCCACATGACCACGGAAACGTCTTCGGACAGCGCTGGCTCTTCGGCTTTGAAACGGAGATGAGCACCGCAACCCTAGAGTCGGACTCGACTGGCTTTCGAGCAAGGGAACCTTTACCTTTAACTGCTGTTTTATACGGACAGTTGATTTACAAGGATGGATGCTTTACTTATTGTGATTTTATGTATTTTTCCTGGAAACAACCTTCGATATATATTTCGCTAGGCTGTCCCAAATTCTCAGCTCTAAGAGATGAACTGATCCCCCCTCTATTTAATCAGGACCTCTTCTCTCCAGAAGCAAAGTCATCCTGGCTACTTAGAGACAAAAGACAAGCAAACTACCCTGCATGTGGCAAAATTTCTAGCCGCTGTTGTCCCATGATAACTTTTGCAGTAGCAGCCTTTACATTCTTCCATGTTTTCCTGTGCGAAGGAGGTTTATTGTGGGACGAGGTTTTGCTGTTTATGACTCCAGTTGCAAAAGCAGTAAAGATAATAAATAAATAAATTGGATCTATATTTGGAGAGGCAGCCCACAAATACTTCCAGACATACAGAAACTTTCCATTAAAATATATATCTCTAGTCCTCAGAGATGTGAAAATATGCTTGGAGAAACCTCTAAAGCTACAGAGCGGTGACTGTACAGAGCTTTCAGTGGCTGGGTCTCCAGTGCCTTCCCCAGATCTTTGCCCTGGGACTAATGTAAAGGTAAAGGTTTCCTTGCTCGAAAGCCAGTCTAATCCGACTCTAGGGTTGCGGTGCTCATCTCCGTTTCCAAGCCGAAGAGCCAGCGCTGTCCGAAGACATTTCCGTGGTCATGTGGCCGGCATGACTAAACACCAAGGGGCACGGAACGCTGTTCCCTTCCCACCAAAGTGGTACCTATTTATCTACTTGTAATTTCTTGCATTCAAACTGCTAGGTTGGCAGGAGCTGGGGCCAGAGATGGGAGCTCACTCCGTCATGCGGCACACTCGGGTCTCGAACTGCTGAACTACCAACCTTCCACAGCCTGCAGTTCAGCGTCTTAACCACTTGAGCCACCGCAGCCCTGGGACTGGCACAATCCAAATACATTGTGTCATTTATTCTGCAAGTTCTACACAATTCACTGCAAAATTTCAGCTTCTCAGAGTGCGGAATGCAGACTGCACTCATGCATAACTTGTAAACCATTTTTGTGGGGAACGTCCCAACTGTTACTAAGGGGTATGAATCTGTATCGGATAGGCAACATGCAGTTGTCTTACAGGAAGAGTTGTTCAGCAATGGAATCAGATGCCGAGGGAGGTGGCGAGCCCCCCCCTCACTGGCAGTCTTCAGGCAGCGGCTGGACAAACACTTGTCAGGATGACTTTAGGCTGACCCTGCATCGAGCAGGGGGTTGGACTAGATGCCCTCTATGGCGCAATGCTATGATGCTGTGGACTGGAACTCACCACTGCCCACCACCTATACAATACCAATCAGACTGCCCCCCTCTCTGAGCCACACATAAAACATCAGGGCATAAAAGCAGACAAGGCACATTTCTTGTGTTTGTTTATGATATATGCACACGATGTCAGCTAGCTGCCATTTCTGTGTCGTCTCCCCTTCCCTGTTCCCGCTTGCTTGCAGCTCGGCAGCTTGCCGTAACTGTGGGAACTAGACGCCGTTATCAGTCTGGCCTTGTGAAGTAGGGAGGGCTTGGGGTCCACATTTGGTGTGAATTTTTCTGCTCTCAGGAAACCCTGCGACTCTCCCGCTCATTATGTAATCTCCCGCCGAGAGTCTTCCCGCCCGTGCGCTCGAAGTTCATTTGCTTCGCTAATGGCCTTGCCCAGCTATATGTATGGGGATGTTCCCGCCTTCTAATTATTCCTAATAATAATCCTGTGGACATGGTACCAGTCTCGTACACTAATAAAGCATAATGCTTCTTAGGAAATGTGTGCGAAGAGTGACTTGTTGTGGAACCTGACTCATGTAGGCATTCAGCAAGACCCTTGTACTTGACGTCTGGTTGGATTCCTACTGGCTTGCTACTGGTAGGTTTTTCTTCCCAGGGCATGGTGAGACGTATAAAACAAACCTCTTCTCCTGGCTGTCAGATGGCTATTAGTGTCTATTAGTGTCAGATGGCTATCAGTGGCTATTAGCCACAAGGTATAGATAGGGACTCTGGGGCAAGTGATGCTCTGTCTTCTTGGTGCTTGGGGGGGGGGTCAACAGTGGGAGGGCTTCTAATGTCCTGGCCCCACTGGTGGACCTCCTGATGGCACCTGGTATTTCTGGCCACTGTGTGATACAGAGTGTTGGACTGGATGGGCCTTTGGCCTGATCCAACATTGGCATCTCTTATGTTCTTATGGCAGTGGAAGAGGGAGAAAGAGGGGCCTACAGTCCCCCGTTTCCTCCAAGATTTGTAGACTTGAGCCCCTTTAAGAATGACCGGGCATCCAGAAGGCGTTACTTTCAAGTTTAAGGATAAAAAAGAAAAGATTGACTCTGTTCTGAAAGCCCAAGAATTTCTAAGGGTTCAGCTGGGAAGACCAGAGGACGGGGGGAAAAGAAGAGGACAGCAAGTCTAGTGGCGAGCTGGACTCGGGTTCTTCCGGAGAGGACTCTCTGACGGAGCAAGGGGCAGCTGCCCCAAAAAGTCCTTATAAGCTGCGGAAGAGACGAGGAAAAGAGAAGTAAAGGCCGAAAGACTCTGAATGGTGCCTTTGAGAACTGTGAATGGGGATGGCTGGGGGGGGGTACTGTTCTTAGACGGTTAAGTTTTAAGAGTTAACGAAAAGGGAAAAGTACTTAAATGTCTGACTCAGTTTATATTGATCTAAATGAAGTGAAGACTTGATGTAATGAAGCTAAGTGAGGATCTCCTCTCTTGGGTTTTTAGTCAGTAGTGGGTTTCTATACTTTCTCCCGTATATGTAGTCCCCCTTCCCTTTTTCTGTGATAGTTTTTGTAGTTTGAAAAATAAAAAATCCCCTCCGGGCAGACTTCAAAGACCCCTCCGGCGACTTGGTGCCATCCAGCACCCTACTGAAAGGGGGGGGGCGCGTCTGCTTCCTCCTGCAGCTGTCTTCTCAGAAGCCGGGGGGGGGGTGTCTGTTCCATTACTCTGTATCCATCCTGAGACCCAGTGCGGTGCAAGAATCAGAGCACTGAATACTGGTGACATCAGGCCTCAGGACCCCACTTGGCTATGAAGCCCCCTAGCCGGCTAGGAGGGCAAGGAGGGCGGAGTGTGGGAGAGACCACAATCCACAGACCTGGCCGCTTTCAGAGAAAGGCTCGGACAGATCGTAAAAAGTGCAACGATAAGCCGACCCCGTCCTACAGACAAGATGCAAAATGGTTCCTAGCACAGCCTCCTATCGGGGCTGCAGCTTTGGCCGAGCAGGGCAGGAGGCCTTTAGAACTGCACCGTCATCTTCTCCCCGCAGCAAAACGTTCAGAGCAACATGGAAACCTGCAGCCTCGCTGCATTCGGCTCTCCTGAGCGGGTGGTGCTGCAGTGACGCCTCCGAGACTCTGCCTGCTGTTCCGCCCCCCCGGCAGCAGAGCTCATTGCTTCCGTGCGTTTCTCGAGGGAGCCGGCTGAGAGACAGCCTGAGACCCCGCATGAGACCCGTGCCTGAGACCCCGCATGAGACCCGTGCAATGGCACTTGAGCCCCCAGAGACCCAAACAGAAGAAGCAACCCAGGACTGCTGCGCTGCTCAGGGGGCTCTGGAGATGAGAAGCCGGGGGGTGGCAGCGGGAGCCCGGAAGAACACAATTTAATTTCCTTGCGGGTGGGGACAGGGGCCCCCAAACAGCTAGCGGTGCCCGGTAGAGTCTGAACAGCTTTGTCGGTGTGCCTAATGGAAGAATTAGTGCTTTAGAAATTATAGGTAGTAGCATCAGGGCACCCAGGGGTCATTTGGTAGAAAAAGAGGTGCAGGAGTGTATTAGCATAACTCATTAGCATAACTTATTTGCATATGCCACACCCCCTGACATCACCAGAAGTGTGTCAGAAGGCAACACCCACCACTCAGGCACCACTGGACTCTTTTGGATTGCTAGCTATTGCGGGGTGTGTGTGCAGATCTGTCCTCACAGAGGAGAGAGAGCTTGTACCTGAATAAAACTTGGTCTTAAAGGTGCCATTGGACTGTTTTGGACAGGGGGGCCCGGGGGGGGGCCCTCTGCAACTTACCTGGCTGCTTCTTGCTCTGACTGAGGGCTGCTGGGAGCAGGGTGCGGGGCTTGTTGCATGTGCCCACCCCCTGGGCTCTTTACGGCCGGAGCTCCGCTCCTGTGCGCTCCTGCAGGAAATGACCCCTGAGGGCACCTGATGGCACTGATATCCAAGACAACTGGGACCCTGCCCTGAGCACGAGGTGAGAACGAGGATACGGAGTCCTGAATGGAGTATGCCATTTCAAACTTCAAACTGGGGGGGGGGGCAGTCCAGTTTTAAATGATTCTCCACATTTATTTTTAAAAAATACAAAGAAAATGTCTGTGTAGATAGGACATTGGAACTCAGAGCTACAGCAGAATGAAACAGCCATATTCTGAGGTGGCAGAATGGACTTTGGTGCCTTTGGACGGCAGGTGGCAGAGCACATTTTTTTAATGCTCCGTTACGTGAAAACTCCATTGCAGGTAGAAAGTACTTGCATGGGCTCAAACCTCTCTCTTTCTCCGCTGTGGTTACATTTTTACTTGCAGGGAATTTTCCAATAATGATGAACTTTCCAAAGTAGCATCCCCCCCTCCTCTCGCCATCTGAAGTGGTACAGTCTACTCTACCACCTTAGGACTGTACCACTGCATTCTAGTGCATGCTGAACAGGTCCTTGTTGAGAATGTAGATTTTGACCCCATGTTCCTTTCTTCCCTTCTTGCTACACCCACCCAATGGCAATCTGGCCCCTGTCTAAATTTAAGCCCCTCTAGGTTAAAGTTGTTCATCAGTTTTTCCATTGGCATTTTTAGGGAATGCAATTTATTGTGGTACTGTTTTACTGGTGATTTCCAAGCTGCCTTGGATTCCATGTTGGGAGAAAGGCAGCAAAGACATTCATTTAAATAAAACAATAACATTGACAAAATCTGTCACCTGTGTAAATCCAGCCTCTTTTAGAAAATGAGAGGGGATTCAGATCCAGCATGGCCACTGGTTGTAAATTTATTTCCTGCGACCTGAATATCCTTTTCTTTAACCCCAGCTGTACAGAAGATGCTTGTGGCTAAAGCCAGGCTAATTCAAACATTCCAACATCACTGGATTTAACCCCAACACTGATGTCCTCTTCAGGACCTGGGACCCAGAAGCCTTCCAAAAGTTTCCTGGCGCACACCGCACCTTGGGGGGGGACATCCACATTTCGACTGACCCCCTCCTTTCCATATCAGCTTGCACATTTGAGTTGACTCTCATTTTCCACATTTGAGCTGACCCTCACTTTCCACATCCGTTCCCACATTTGACCTCGCCCTCATTTTCTCTACCCCCCTACCCAATACATAAATATAAATTACACACAGCCCCCCCAAAAGCCAGATAGTAGGAATTACCTTTTCCTCCATGACTGACGATGACTGAAGTGACAAACAGAACGCAGCCAACACAAGAGAGGCAACGGCACGAGAAGCAAGACAAGAGAACAACCATTAGAGTGCAGAGGGCATGCAAGCGCACTGACGCATGTTATGTGCTCACACAAATGCTTGCTCGAACAAGGATGGAGATGTTCTACACCCAGCCTCACAAAACATGCAGCTTTCCGGAGGGCACGGCACACGCACAAACACTCCGTGATGGACGATGAACAGACAGAGTCAGGTTGGTGCCCATGCCATATGGAAGTATATTGGCACAGGACATTTGTGAGAGACTGAAGGTGCTGGTCCAATGGGTCCAACCCTACAAAAGCACAGTGAGTGCTGGCCTCCACCCCCCCTGGGTGGGAGGAAGAGGCAGTCCTGGGTCACCAGCCATGTCGGTCAACAGAAAGTTCTCCTGCTCCATCTTGGACCTTCTGCCTGCCCCAGAGGTCTCTTCTGCTTTAGCTCTGAAGTCAGCCTGAACACATTCCATCACTGCACCATAATGAAGTGCATGAACCCAGGCCCGCACGGGACGTGGCCGTCAGCCACAAGAGTTAAGTGCCGAAAGACACAGATCTGGCCCAAGCGTGAAGAAATGGGTGGGAAATCAGGCACAAGACGAAGCCGACCTGGGGAGAAATCGACTAACCCCTCCACTGGGTGCTGGTAGGGATTGTCCCCACCCCTAGTATCTGTGGCCATAGGTTAGGGGTAATTGATTAACTGTAGCCACTCAGAGACCCCTTGGGGGGTTCGAGCGGGGTAGTAAGTTGAAATAAATAAATAAAATAAATAAAGTCACCCAGGACGTGATTTAGCAAGTTTTTCGTTAAGAGGACAAAACACTGCATTGACTTTAACTTACTGAAGTTGCTTTCACATGTTACAGAAACATCGACAGTTCCGTCTCCGGAAAGAACTCGCTGCATGTTTTAAAAGGCAATGATCAGGCATGGAGGCGGCCAATTCAGATCATGACTGCGGTGCGAGGGGGAGGGAGGTTAAGCCTTCCCGCCATGCTGCTTGACCGACTGAGAATGTTTATTTGGGTAAAGCCGTACGGGTACCCATCCATCCCACCAACAGGCAGATCATGGTTCCCTAGTGCCATTTTAGCCAGAGAAAACGGTGGAGGGGGAGGCTTAGCCGCCCTCCCAGTGCAAAAAGTGAGTTCAGCCCCACTGCACTGATGAGTTACGTAACACTGACTGTTCCAGACACAGAACCCCCAACAGCCGATCTGGTTCAGCCCTGAGGTCAAAGGGACTAAACCAGAGGAAGGGGCCACAGAAGATAAGCTAAAGTCTCATCCAGCCACTCTTCCTCCTTTCTATACAACCATGAGAGATCCAGGCTTGAAAACACACCAGTCTGCGTTAGAGATGTGAAGGCCCGGAAAAAACCCGGGAAAACCCCATTTTTTCCCCGTTTTTTTCCTGAAGCCTTTTTGTTTTTTTCCAAAAAATTGAAAAAAGAAAAGAAAAGGGAAAAAAATGATTACGGAACATTCCATTTTAACATGATGAATAAAATATTTTAAGAGAAGGTGTTCAAATATTTTCCAAATCATGTAGATCTAATTTCTGTGCACTGAGGACAAGCAAGTCCTAGGTTACAAACTGAACTCTCCAATCCAAGAACAAGATGCATTTCTTCCTTTAGGGGGTGCGATTGTCAGAAGAGAATTAAAAAGTTTCAGTTTTGTTTTTGCATGTGGGTGGGTATTCTGTTTGTGATAATTGTTTGGATACACTATATTTTTAATATGCTAGTTGTGATAATTTCATGCCAAGTAAAAATGTCCATAGTCATATTTTATGTTCCTAAAGTAACAGAATGACTTTCGATCTAGAAAAGTCAAAAGAAATGCTAATGTAGCCTTTTTTTCAATTTTTCCGAAAATGTCCGTTTCCCCCAGGAAAAAACTGGGGGGAAAACGGGTTTTTTTCTGAGCTTCAAAATTTCCGGAAATTTTACATCTCTACTGCATCCATCGTCTCCAGTTTAGCCTTGACACTTAATTCAGTGCCCTAAGAATTCCAGCTTTCCTTCATAAAATACAAACAAGCTTCAAGCCTGCAGAATGAAGGTCTGAAGCCAGAGAAAGGGTGGCAGGGAGGGGGCTTCAGGGAATAAGGGCTTCACTGCCCTATACAGCTCTCTGGCCTCCTGTTCCCCCACCCATTTCCCCAGCAGAATTGACAAAGCAGAGCAAGCAAAACCAATGATCGTTTCCTAAATAGGCATAAACCCGTAGTGGCTGTGCAGAATTTTGGTTTTTTTAAAAAAAGTAAATGTTCTTAAAAGAGTGTGGGATATAGTCAGATCTGACTAGGAAGCGTCATTTGCGCCCTCTCTTTGCTGAGGCTTCTCCCTGTCCACACACACAGGAAAAGGCACCCTCTTCATTCAGCAGGAGGTTCCCCAAGGTGTCCGTGAGGCGGCCTGCATTAGCGGGTGGCCGTGTTTCATGAAAAGCTTCACCTGCAAATCCCTGTGTATCCAAACTCCGTTAAAGGCACAAGAGCATGCCAAGCTGGTATTATCCCGCCAAGCTGTCAACCCACCTTTGGTTGGGGGTCCTTTCTACAGGACACCCCACAGGGGCAAGTTGCCCACACCCGATGCTTAAGCTTTCAGTCCCCTCTTACCTCCAGTCACTGAAAAACCCGTTTGGGATAAAAACTGGGGGGGGGGGTGATCAGATCCCTACAAGTACCACAAGGATGTTTCCACCAACCTTTTAGGTTGGTTCACACAGTCTGCTTCCCCTCAGCCACCTGAATGCCTGCCACTGCTGCATGGACAGGACAACACATCCATAGATCACCAAGCCAAAGCTGCACGTGTATCAGGGAATCCAGCTATCTGAAAAAGCCACTCTC